TACAAAACTACTTTAAAGTTCGTCGACTAAGAGTCGAGTGGTTTTTCTTGTCTGTCAAAATTTTATAGTTGAGTTAGCGAAACCAAGTTGACAGGCGTTGAACTAAGATGGATCTTCTCTTAGCAAGAATTTGGAATATTTTTAATATAGTGGGATTTGTCGTTTGAAACGTGTGAACACAATGGCTTCTCAGGGGTCAGCTTCTGAAATGAGTTAATTGAGAAGTTACTAATAAAAGTGGCTGCCCCAATGACTACATTACTTTTGAGCGTAAAAGTTTAACGCGATGAATTAAAAATCCCCATAGAAGGTAAAAGCTAAGTACTTAGCAAAGCACTGATGGTTTACATTAGCTCACTTTCAATAGTTCTGCTATGTCATTTTACCGCGTTGAGGATTCCAAATAACTTTCGATCGCTGTTGTACCACCTAATAAAGTTTTTAGATAAGCTGCATGAACTCATTTGAACGTCATGGTGCGTCTTTTTGTTCATTCACTTGCATTCACAGGCCTTGTCAATCTCTCAAGAAAGCCTGGAGAAAAAATTGCAAAGCTTGTTAGAGATTTAAGGATGTCCTACTTCGCAGTTTGACAATACCGTTATCGCAAATGTCCTTCAAAAGTGTGTCCACATCCTGCTCCTTGAGAGGTCGCTTCTCTTCTGCAAACAGAGTGATCAGATCCTCCCTACTGAAGTAGCCACGTTTCACTTTCAACATGTCCTTGATTTCTTCAAACAGGATCTTCATTTGAATCGGTGGTTTGTTTTTCTGTCTGCAAAGCTCATCCTCCACCTGTTTTTTTGATACAAAGTCACCTTTAAAAGGATTAAAATTATAAACTTTTGTGCCCAATTGGAACTATGGTAATTTAACGAATGCCTCTTTTAAGTGGCAAACTAAAAAATTGCCTCATTTGATGTAATGATTTCACCGAGATCCTTTAGCGAAAAAACAGAATAACTCGCACATTAGATATCAGAAGTTCCAACCTCTGGGGAAAGTGGTTTCACGGGCCGAGAAATTGTAGAATAAGTTCTGGAATTCCGTTTTATTGGTTAATACACAACTTCGAGAAGTTTTTATCTGTCTAAAATGTGAGCACTATTTTGCGGCCTTTACATGAGTTTGCAAATAAATTCACATTGTTCAACACCTGTTCCAGAAGAATATATGAGCTACAATTGTTGCCATTCACAGCGTTGGCCTTAGGACTGTAATCTGGAACTAGATATTTTCTCTAAAGTTGTCAAAATCCCGCAAAAATGTTGAAATGTGTTAATTCTAATTCCTAGTACTGACTCAAACTGGTTTTGAAATTCGAGCAGACTCATCCTTAACGGGAATGTGTCGGAGTAGTTTTAGTCTCTGTCAGTGAATTGAGGTTCTCGAGAAGTCCGAACGATCCTCTACTCCGCCCGGTTAACACGAACTCCAACGTTTGCTGTGAACTCTTATTTCTCCACATTATAAGTAGTTTAGATGTTGCATGCCTTGCCCTACAGAAGAGTCCACGCTAACCCCTATTTATTTTATCAGAGCTTTAAATTGAGGTTATGGACACATTTACCGCAAACACTTACATGAGTCTTCATGCTCTGCAATGTTTTACGAATGAAACAGCTGGTCAGGGATTAGTAGCTCTTGTTTGTAGTACTTGTGCATATATGATTTGGCAACTTCAAAATCACTTAAAGCACTTTTGGCCTAAAAAGATTAATTTTCAGGAGTATTTTTTCTGCAGTCACCACACTGTCTTAAATCTCGGCCACCGATAACACAGAAATAGCATTTAAATCAGACCGATTTTCAGCATTACATGAAATAAAGAGTCAATTTAAATTTGGCAAGGTGAAAGGAAGATTCGCACGCATTTTGCCTTCAAGATGGTGTAATACGTCGTCGTATATGCATATGCATGAATCGACACACACCTCTAGTTTGACATTTACATTGTCGCCTTACCTGAGCACCCTTTTTACCTGTTACAAAACCATTACTCTACAAAACATATACAAATAACTCAAGAACAACAGATGAAGGGCTTTTCGTGCCAATTTTACGATTGCCCTGCAATAAATTTATGACTAGTGGATGGGGATTGGTATAGAAGCGTGGTTTAAAAATTTCGTGCACGTAAAAATTAAAATCTGTCTAACCAGTAGCCTAGCCGTGGATTGCTGCGACAATCCTGCAGAAGCCTTTAACTGAAAAGGCACACATTTAATTACTATTGTATACCAAACAGCTTCGTCACGGAACCTCAATGCAGTCTATACTTCTTCACTCTGTGCCATGAACTTTTTAGTTATAAACTCCACAATATATTATACATCAAATTTTTCCTTCATAGGTGACTCACAGACTGCATGATCGCTTCCACTAGTACCGGCTTTAGGCATTTCATTTTTGCAAAATTCCGACCTCGTGTAATACCAAGGATCGATCAAGACATTACTGACCTCTCAAAATCCGCACAACATGGTGAAAGAGGCTGTGCTACGAATAAATGCTTGCTTCCACATCCAGCGAATAAAATTTTCCGGAAATCGGCAAAGTAATCAGGAAATTATAAAATGAAATCGGGCTTATCCGCCAGCAGCTTCTCTTACGAAATCAAGCGATGCTTTTGCCTTCGAACGTGAGTAGTAGTAATCACCTATCGAGGTTACTGTGGGGCAGAAATCACCAAAAGTATTATGCTGCACAATGACACAAAGCGACCGCAAATAAACAGAAGAATCTCAAGACTCCTCAACATCCAAACGTGACCGGAAGTACTCTTGCACGTGGTCTCACCCAATGGTGCTTTTAACATTACTTCCGATTTCAGCCACATTTTATAGCTGGTAATGAATTAATTATTTTAAAATAATCAGACAATTATTGGTGGACAGTGTAAGCAGGAGTCAGTGTAGCTCACCGTACTTTTCTCTGGCTTGCTCAATGTCCTCTCGCGAGGGGTAGAACCCGTTTAGGATGAGAATGGCCTCCAGGTCATTGATACGAAAGTGATTCGTTTTGGAGGGATTGAGGAGACAAGTAATGCGTAGCCCATCCATGCTCGTCAATTTAACCTACTGACCGCCATGTGTTGACAGAAATCACGTGTTCCCATAAAAACGAGGAGACACTTTGAATAGCCGAGTGACTATTGAGGTTTCAGTGGCTTTCGCCACATTATTGAGCACATATCTCACTTAATGTAAAAAATTCCACTTTATTATGCGACTTCTATCAAATCGCGCACGACAAATTAATACAAAATCAAAGGTCAGATTGATGTACGTTAATGGGAGGTTTAAAGCGACTATAGGTCCGTGTTATGCTGTTTTCCAAATGCCAGCATGCATGACTATTTAGTAGAGGTTGTGGTAGAAGAAGAACAATAATTTTACATGGACGTAAAGGGCAAACGAATTCCACCTCCATGATGTGGTCAGCGGATGAGATGTGCGTCCAATGGGAGGGGAAGGTAGAGGGATAAGGTTGATGCACCATCCTTCATTTGCTGCCGTCAGCCTTGACTGATACTGTGTAGCCGCTGATGCAGGTTTTGTTCCTTTGCTTCAGCATTGTGTGATCTGTTCCGAAGGCGCAGATGGAAATGAAGACGAGCATCCCCACACTTGACCCACGAGTGGAGTTGTCTGGACTGTTGAAGAATTCACTTTATGCACACAGTAAGGTGAGGCTCCGCAATTGTCAACTCTCTGTCTTAACAAAGCACACTTCTTAAATGCTTTAATGGGTTTGTTTGATGATGTTCCGTGTTTCTTATTGATTTGAGGTAGAAAGTACAATAATAAACCGTGCTGGGAGCTACCTGATGGCTCTCGATCTTCAGAGTGGCGGTATTCTTTATCACTCTCCTCTCACAGTTCTTTGCTTCATAAAACTGATACTCCAATTTGTTAGCAGCTCTTTTGTCAAATTTTGAAAAGGAACAGACTGCTGGTGAAAGGGATCTTTTCAGTTTGGTGCACTCCGTACAAAGTGGACGCAGTCAAAGTTCAATATTGCATTGATGCGTGATGTTTTAAGAACATTTTCATAAATGATGACGTTGGCGCCTCAATTTCCCGAGCAATTCCTCTGCTCCTTAGAAGATTGAGTACTTGCATGCAAAATGTGTTGCGATCCAGAATTATTTTGCAACAGTAAGGACGTACTGATCTGTGTGTAGCACATAAATTAATGCACAGTTGGAAATTGCATTCTGCTATAATTTGTTGAAATTCCTATTTAACTGGGAGTTCCTTTTGAGCATCTATTCTCCACGCTTAAAGTAAATGTCGAAGGCACAAATTCAGTGCGTGACGAAGCAGTTGCCGTTAATTTTAATAAATTTCTTTAAAACCCCTGCTCTTTGTGCAAGAAAGCAGTCCACCTAAATTTTACGTTCTTATCTCATCCGAATGAGCATTTGTGCTTCACTAGATGTGCAATGTCAACCGCCTTCCGGCCAAAATAAAACAGTCGCGGTCAATTAATTATCCACGAATAGCCGCTGCTTGTTCCATTAGGGAATTGGGTCGCAGTTATGGCGTGATGTCAAGCGCTACGTCGATGCTACTCACTCCAAATGGTATTCAAAGGATTTCCCTACTGAAAAGCTCCCCCAGCGGTTAGTAGCAGCACCGCTTGATAAAACTTCGGAGGCTTAACGATGATGACAGGATTTGTAAGTAAATATTGCCCGTTACTGATATTTACTGTAAGCCTTATTTTTTCAAAATTCATCGAGTTTTATGACGATATTTTTTTAACACATGGCATTTATCATTAGACTAGGCGGTGTCACAGATTAAAGCGCTCCGAATAACTGTTGAGCAAATGCTTTTGTAAACTCCTTTGATTGACACGACTATTTGAAGCAATGCTAGCGCCTAGCCGAAAACAAACCTCGGGCTACAGTAAATGGACTTTATTTAAAAGCTCCACAGTTAAAATGCAGTGTCTGCCAATAACTCTCATTTAGTGGAAGTGGAGCTCGAAACACATGTGCGATTGTGAAAGTAATAAAACGGAGCACAATCGTACAGTTACTCAAATCAAATCTCTGTCATTATTTCTAGGCGGTGTCGCCCTTTAAACTTTAACTCATCCGAATGGGTTGAAGATACCACTTGCTGGTGCTTTGCATATGAATCCTACCATTCAGTAAGGTTATGCACTCAGCGCGGCAAAGGTGAAGCGAAAAAATTAATTAAACTCACAAATCGAAACAGCAGATGGCGTCTCGAAGTGCTTGTGCTGACGAAAAGTATGACAGCTTAAAATCTATCACTCATCCAGCTTTCACTTGGAAATAAAGCGTGACATCAATTTTTCCGATCTCTCCCATCAGATGGTCGAAATGCTCTTGTGATTTGTGGCTGAAACTTGTATCCGCATTCCTGCAACTTGAAGTGAAATTGAAATATCGTTTGGCAGTAGCAAAAAAGAATTTCAATGTATGGATAAACAGTTTGAAGTATACATCAACTTGGAGCTTGTGCATCAAATGGAGGCATAAGTTGACAAACATACAGCTTGGTTGTAAAAACAATCACATGAAGTACTTAAGGTGGCAGCACTTTCAGTGGAAGTATAACTACATCAATTGGGTCGAATGGTCAGGTATTGAAGGAACCGCTATTGACAAATAGGCTTTAAGGAGATGAGAAAAATTACCATAAAGGAAGATTTCTCCACTTTAAATTTTGAGCGATCCTTCACTCAAATCCAACCGCCTACCTACTGGACAATTAACCAAATGTGAAGCTGCATAAACCAAAGATAATAAATACCTGATGCTTCTCACTAGTCTAAAACGCTTCGAAAAATGTGGTTAAAAAGACTTTTAAATGTATTTTTATGTGTAAAAGTTGTAATGTATACCGATGTGTTTAAGTTTGTCTTGATAGGAGAGAGGCGGGAAGGCAATTCGAACACAAATCCCATTCGTAAGGAGCGTGAAGAGACGTCCGCAGGGTGACATCGGCATTCCGCCTCGTCAATTCTCTGGTC